GAAATCCTGCTTCAGTTTCCCTATAATCGGTGTTAACTCATACAAACACAAACATTCATATTCATTTTCATTACCACAGTGTGATCAGACATGAATTTCTTCATGTTAAATTCTCGTTTTTGTTCATTGTTTTGACTTCGACAGGAACGTAACAGTCTTATCAAGCCCCATAATCCTTTAATAAGAATACTTCAGCCTGTTTCCAAAGTGAATTCACTTTTATTAAGCAGGCAGTAAATGTAAAATCTGAGTTCTTTGCCAATTTAATGCCATAAAATAAGAATACCGTATTTCTTTTTAGCTGTTAAGAGCTAAAATCCTACAGCCAGCAAACCATCATGTTACATGATTGCAGATCAACGATCAACGTCATTATATAGAAACAATAAAGAAATAGTTATTGATGAGTGTCCTGAAACACCCTCTGCTCCACACTGTCACACCAAAGTCCATTAAAAAAACAGCTGTTTTAAGGAAGTAAAACCTTTATTTCCACCAACAGTGAGACTCTGATTCTCTTCAATCTACAGACACAGTCTGCTCACACTGACTCAGTAACATCATTAACTAACCTGTGAGACACACTGAGTGACATTTTTATCCTTTTGTTGGATTAAAGCCAACTGTCCTTCATTGATTAGGAAAGTTAATAACCTCTTTTATTTTATTGTTTGATGTGTTAAATGCAACACAGCAGCTTGATTTACCCAAGAGGAGGCGTTCTGAAGACAAGAAATGTTGTCTAATAATAGCTGGTTATCAAATATGTTGCTTTACTGTGAGACTTTCACTGTCCATCCGTCACTTTGGACTTCCAATGTAATCCGACCCCTAACTTTCATATTGCAAGTTGAAAATGTATCTGACCCAGAATGCAAAGCGTTTGATGTTGAGTGTAAACAAAATCTACGTGATAAATTCTGCCTGCAGAGACCTAATAACCATCTCATACAGAGGGAGGAAAACTGGAGCGAAGACAGGAACACAGTCTATATAAAGCTTTACAGCACATCTGGAAGGTAACTGGATGTACAGAAATCCACATAAACAAGGTTCCACACACACACACACACACACACACACACACACACACACACACACACAGAGTTGTAACTGTATGTTCATCCAGTTAGCGGCTGTAAATTTCCATGACGTTTCCTTTCTTTGATCACAGCTGTAAGTGTTGCCCTCGGTGCTCTGCAGCAGCTTCAATAAATCACATTCGACTGTGATCAACAAGATATATTAACACAAACTCCATCCAAACCCCCAGAAGAACCCCCAGAGAGATTATTTCTGGATCAAATATGAGGCCAAAGCAAAGAAACAAACCAGAGAACTGCACAAACCCTTATCAGCTGATGGAGTGCATCCAGAAACCTGGATGTATAATTAATAGAAGGAGTTGCAAAACCAGTAACCGAAAAAAAAACATTACAAATTTACATCATATCTGTATAAGAAAAGAGTTTTGACTCTCAAACAATGCATGCTGGGACATCTGCTGCTCATCATGTTTCTTAAGAAACTTGATTTAATTAGTAAATTGAACTCACCAACAAAAGACTTCAAGTTAAATTAACTTTACAGTTCCTGATATGGTCTGAAAATAAAAGCTAGAAAATTAACATAACTTAATCAACATAATTATGACAATAGTTTCTGTTTCTGTGGGTTTTTATTGTCCGTCAACAACCTTTAAATCTCAACGTAACCCGACGACGAGGTTTTCAGTCACAGTGACGGGCGGCTCAGTCTTTACCTGTTAGTTCCTCCGCTCTGCCGCTCCTCTCGTGGTCCGTGCTCTGAGGAAAGAGACGATATCAACATCAGTTTCACCACAAACATCTGATCATTTGAGACATTTCTGAACAAATGATGCATTTAAATGTTTTCCCCAGAGGTAGGAAGGGAAGTCAAAGTCATTAAGATATATAACCATAATTTAATAACAAAAATAAATCAGATCTTAAGAGAGCAGACAGGGTAGAAAGTACACTGTTAATGTTAATGTCGTATTAATTGTTCTTGGAACACTGAACTGAAGTTTACAGTCTCTGAGAGTCTCTGCAGGGCCGTTGGTTCAGTTCCAGCTGGAGACGTTTGTTTCATCTGTTAGCCGTCAAACTGTCCAATAAACCTTACAAAATGTGAAGATTAAATGAACAGGGTACATGAGGCACTTTATATAAATATTGAAATCTGGAATTCTTGGCCTGCATAACTTTGGATTGAAGCCAGATTTTGTGTTAAAATGAACATTTGTTTATGCTACATACATGTCCCTTTAGAAATAAACAATACACGGCTACAGAGGAAAAAAGTCCTCTTTGCAAAGACGAGCAAAAACGTAAAAAACGTTTAATCCTTTTTGCCATCAAAGACCTTAAATCAGTAAGTAGTAGTATTTTTTATTCTGAAAGCAACAGGAACCGTAGGAGTGAGCTACTTAAGCCGAATATAAACAACATGTTGTATCTCTGAGAGGAACCTGAAGGCATCGTGGACAATAGCTGCAGACTGACGGGAAACAAAGCCACTCACAGTCATCCATCATTAGGTACATACGGTGAGGTCAGCCAACCATTACCCAACCATCTGAATCACAGTTGTGCTGTTTCTCCTCACATTTGGTATGTGAGTCCTCAAACAGAACCACTTGTACTCTGATTCCATTGTCGTTCTGTGTTTACCTTTGTTCAGCTGTATTTTCTACGTCTGTGTGGGAGCAATGAGTCAGATTCTCTGTGTTTGTTCACGGCGTTATACGGTGGCCAAGAGGCGAACTACAAACAGCCACAACGCTAATGTGAAAAGTCAACACATTTAGATTGTGACAGACAGTAAACCTCAGCTAATGAATGCGCTTTATAACGAATGAATGACAGAGAAAGTGTTAATAAACATAAATACATTGTTTTACTGGTGAAGAGGTTCAAGCTGCTCAGAATAAAGACTTTATGATAGAGTCAATATTTCTCATTATAATGAAACAGGAAGTCGTTTATATGAAGGCTACAAAGGTTCTTTAATTAAATGCAAACACAATTTAAGATTAAAATCATTTTGAATGATTCATTGTTCACCCAGTCAAACATAATCAGTTCATATGAGAGCACACAGGCTTCCTTAAGGCATTCTGGGAAGTGTAGGCAATCATTAACAGCAGCTGGAGTTCAGACTGCAGATATATAAAATATGATAATAATTAACAGCTGGAGGTTTCCTCTCTGGACAACCTGACGGAACTCATTCGTACCTGTTTCTGATGAACTGAATCTTTCTTTCAGTCATGTGAAGCACAAACAAACACAAACAGGCTCTACTGGAACGCTGTAACACACCTGACCACAGGCTGCCAATCAGGTTTCACAACCGCTGCTGCATTCAAAGGCAAGTAAAGGCCGGGAAATCCCTGCGTCCTGTTGGGAAAAGAAAACAGCCGCTTAGGGGTTTGGACTTTTTCTGAAACTTCCTGAAGTTCAAACAACAACAGCAGTCAGAGTCTGAGACTCCTCAACACAGTCTGAGGGACTCGTACACTGTGTCTAGCTATTAGCTATTAGCTCAGCACAGGCAGACCGAATGCAGCATCAGATGCCGATGGAGTTTGACGACAGGGAATAAAGTACTGAGGTGTTTTTGTTTGTCTCCTGGCACCCCGGGGGCCCAAGACCCCAGTCAGCTAACATTAGGTGCATGAGCTCACCAGCTAACTCATCTAACATTACCATTAGCAGCAATTAGCTACTCTTCCTCGGTCTGTCTCGGAGGTTGTGTTTGGTTCCCGGTCCCGCCGCGTTCACTCTCCATAAGATATGATCCAGTTTTACCCGAATCACTGATATAAAGTCGCGTTTGTAAAAGCGATAAAGTTTAGCTGTTTGTTTACAAGGAAAAGAATAAGATTGTTTGTATTTATTATTTATATATATTTATATATATTTATATATGACTGGGGATTTGATGGATGCCTTACGAAGCATTATTTTGTTTCATCCTGACTTTAAAATCCGACTCGTCATCTGTGAACAAACAACAGAAACTCCTGCTGATGTCACTCTCAGAGACTCGAAAACACAGAGGACGAAAGAGGAAGTCACTGGTAATGCCTCGCGCACACCTTCTCCGTCCTCCCGTGAAAAGCCCCCGATCGGTGGCAGCAGATCTTTATCGACGTTATCAACACAACAACACTCCTCTTCCTCTTCCTCTTTTCTCACACGGCTCACATTGTGCTCGCCGCTCGCCGTCCATCAGGAGAGTAATTGATCATTGTTTGACTCACAGGGCTGCTTTCAGTTTCAGACATCCCCAGAATTTGTCATTATTGTTGTTATTATTGCACCATTTGTCTTCCTGACGTTCGCCACCGAGTTTCTTTCTTCCTCACTGACTGACTTTGAGGAACCGAGAGAAGGATGACATAATGATGACATCAGGTGTCATGAATGAATGACTGACAACTCAAACTGTTTGAGGAACCCTTTAAGTTTATTTACTCAAACAGTTTAAGCCTGTAAAAATATCTGAGTACAAGTAACTCGGGTTATCTGTTTGGGTAACTTGGATAAAATAAGTTATTGTAGTTAAAACTGATGAAGTATCTCTCAGTCACATGCAGCAGTTCTGAATAAAGTCAAATATCTTTATACAAATGTAAATTGACCTTATTACTCTAACCCTAACCCCGAGTTGCGTGGAGTGCGAGGGCCCGTTCAGCGCTGCTTGCAGCTTTAATTTATATTTATTATTAATCATGTATGAGTCAATAAATTATAATTAATACCATTAATCATGATCAAGTCATCACTTTAAGCTTTCAGCAAGTTATCTTCCAGACATGCACTTTGCTTTATAAAGTGTCTATATAGTGTTCATGTAGACAACAGAGATTTTCATTCATCAGCTTTTAATTCAGTGAGTCAGTCAAAGCAGACATTCACATTTTGGTCTAGAAACAGTTTTTTAATTGAAATATAGAATTACATATACTGTGATATAAGACTTTATCCATATTGCTGAGCACACAATACCTGCTCTGAATCACATCCTAACAACTAGCACACCTACCATTAAAACACCAAAATCAAACTGATATTCAATCAAGATAACAAATAATATGTAGTTTGGTTTGTCATTTTTACAAAAGATTGAACAAAACTGGAAACAGACAGTTTTGGATAAACAAACATTAGTTCTAACTAAATTAAATGTGTATGAGAGGTCAAAGAGAAAGAAGTCCTAAAGATCTGTTCAGATGTTCTCTGTGTTAAACAAACCATAAAGATTTAAGAATAATCTCTCTCCCTGTCTCTCTCTCTCTCTCTGTGCTCTCTCTCTCTCTCTCTCTCTCTCTCTCTCTCTCTCTCACTGATGAACTGCTGATATCATTGCTGTCCTTTCTGCAACAACACACAGAGGCCAAAACCTTTTCTAAGATCGCCTTCCTCATGAAAATATACAGAACCAAGTCTGCAAGAGGACTCAACCTAACACATATTAAACTCAGGATGTAGTGGGTATTGGTATTGGTAAATCTATCTTCCTGCATCCTAAAGATGATGTATGGCAGGAACAGCAGTGTGTAAATAAGCAGCACCAGAACCAAAATTCCCACAATTCGTCGTTTTTCATCAGAGTGGACGGAGGTTGAAGCACACAGAGCTTTCAGGACCCCAACAAGGAAGAATATGAACAGTGGGAAGGGAAGGAGGAAGAAGATGGGGAAGATCTGGGAGGGGGTGAAAATGAAATATCCTATTAATAAGTAAAGGCCAGGAAGAAAAACCCAGACCAGGACACTGATTAGCACAGATCTCTTTATGGATCGTCTGCAGCGGTACCACAGTGGACAGACAATGACCAAAAACCTGTAATAGAAGATGGAGACATGGTCTTTGAGGGTCTTCACAATCATACAGTGGTATAATGGTCAGACACTGAAGTACATATAATGAGACAGATAGTTACCTTTCCAGGGCGATACACACCATGAAGCAGACACTGACCAACAGACTGTAGACGTATATGATAGAGAAGGTTGAATGTACGATGTCCAGCCGATCATTAAATGGTGACACCTCAACAATCGAGCAGCAGAACTGAATGAGGTCAGAAATGAGAAGGTTGATGACGTAGATCGGAGCAACATGATCGTTCTTCACCTGCAGGAAAATATGGATAAAGGGTAAACAAACAGTGTGTGTGTGTGTGTGTGTGTGTGTGTGTGTGTGTGTGTCGGTGTGGGTGAGTGTGTGAGTGTGTGTTTATATATGATTCAGTTTTCTGAAACTATACATACATCATACATACATACATACATACATATACATCACTATACATCATTGGTACTAATATACCAATGATGACTGAGTGGAGCTCATACTTATAGGCTGGATGATACTGTCACATATTTAAAACCAGATTTTAATTGAAATTATATTATATATGTATAATATTTATATATATATATATATATATATATATGTATAATATATAATATATTATATTTATTTCATTTTATAGAGGGAACCATGACTTCATTGTATCCTGGAAGACAGCGAGCGAGCAGATCATTTTGACACCATGTTTCTGTCAACACAATAACATCAATGTGTTTGATAGATTTCATGAATTCAGGATTTCCACTCTTCAGCTCAAAGTTTGAGGCTGGAGACTGAATATTCCAGCGGCTTCAGTGAAATGAACACATTAAAATAAAGTATGTTCATCTTAACTGAGCGTCTGTAGATAAAATCGTCTCATTCTGAAGTAACTAAAACTGATTAAACACTAATGAAAATATTATATTACATTTCTGACAATAGATCCTTCTCAGTGTTAAATACTGGACCTTTAATGTAACTTTTAATTCTGTGATAAATTATTCCTGTAAATTCATTCATTCATTACAACACTTCGTCCCAGCCCCCTGAAGCCTAGCCCCCCAAGCCAGATCAACATTCTTTACAGACAGACAGACAGACAGACAGACAGACAGACAGTAATAAATAAATCTCAGTCATAATGTACATACCTCAGAATACAGAGCATAGATGGCAACCAGGGTCAAAGGAAGGCCGATACCAGAGATTATGTATGTTGTCACTTGTAGGATGAACCTTTGATTAACGTGATGGTCATAGTTATCTTTGTTGTAAGTGTTGTTGCTGTAATTGTAGCTGTTGGAGGTGTTGTCGCTGTAATAGTCGCTGTTGTCCTGTGATGTGTTGTTAATGCAGAAATCTTCCATTGTTCAGAGTGAAACCTGTTTGAGAGATCAGGTTAAAGAAACAGAGACAGTTTTAATACCTGACCCTGTTCAGTGATATCAGTAAAGCTGTGAGGTGCAAGTTCACACAAAGACAGTTTACCTGTAGTATACGCACAATTAAATGTAATGTTTAATGTTCTTGTCCATTGGTTGAAGACATTTTATCTGTCTTCTGTACTCGACGCCCGACCACTGGTTGAACAACCCTCTGCTCTGATTTTAGCTTAGACTTTTATTCTGATGACATTTTGGAATAAACCAACATTTTATAATAAAAATGTTTCAGGGACCTTTGCTGCATGTCATCTACATCTCTGTGTCCTCATGTCCTGTCTGTACTGTCTCCTGTCAACTACAATATCATTAACTGACTATAATGTCTGTGGTCAATCAATAACGTCACTATAAATACCTCTCAGTGGATTAATGTTGGGTCAGAACTAGGGATGCAATGGAGAGCTGCACAAACAAAAAGGAAATAAGAGGAATTTATTCATGTGATCTGAGGAAAAGATGTTCAAACATTGAGCAGAAAACAGTTCATTCAGGTAACTCAGGTAAAGGCTGCACTGAAGCAACAAACTCTGTAGGACACTTTTAAAGGGAGAGAGAAATTCTCTCCAGACAGCGACACAACCAACAAACACTACAGAGGGTTCCTTACCATATTTTATGGCCTACTTTGGTATTTAGTATTAATAAATATATAATATACTAATAGTAATATATTACGTTTAAAAAATGTATAACAGCTTGGTTGCATGCAATTTATTTACCTGTATTATTAATGAAAATATAAATGTTGATCAGGACTCAGCTGATATTAAATGGTGACCAGAGGGGAAAACATCTTAATTGGGACATTTTTACTGTGGTAACAATAGACCTTAATAATCATAATAATAATAATAATAATATGTAAAAAAAAAAACATTGTCAAGATGTTCTAGCTGCTGGTCCCTGTTTGCAGTTATTTTATTCTTTTTAATCATTTCATTATTGCTACATGTAAGAAAAAGTAATAAGACAAAACCTACCTTTGAAAACCTTGAGACCCAACCTGAATGAGTTCCCTTCACAGTCTGATGTGTTGTCCTCCTATATAGTATTTATGATTTCATGCAGCAGGCTGATAATAATCTATACCTGGTCTTCTAAGGAAGAGATAAACAGACACAAACATTGAAATGACACCAGAGCAACAGTTCTAATCAGCACGAAAGAATCATTTAAAATATTCAGAGCGTATAAACTAAATATGAATCAGTTTAACAGTTTGTTTTACCTTTTTTATTTTCATGTTGCATCAAATATTTCTTACCCTTTTATTCTGCTTTTATTCAAAATCTGATCAATTGTCAAGTTTAAGTGTGACCCTCATTAAACCACACATTACTAAAGTCCAGAGATTGGCATATCTTTTCAAAAGTAACTCAAAAATAATATGTTTGCTTCTTTGATATAAGACAATAATGGATGGAGTTTGGTTTATTAGGATCCCCATTAGCTACAGTATTGCAGCAGCTGAACAGCTTTACATTGTGACAATGCATCATAACAATTTACATCATAACTTTTCATATTACAAAATCAACTGGACAAAGACCAGAACATACACACACAGACAAGCTTCTAAAATACCCTAATCAGAATATATTATATTATAATTATAAGCAATAGGATACTTATTGGTGTTAGAGTACAGAGGTGTAGACTGAGTGATGTACATACATAACTACCAACTAATGAAACCATCTAATAATTAAACTGCAGTCACTGCTCTCCCTCGCTGTCTCTGAGCTTCGGCTGCAGTTACTGCGGCTTCAGTGTCTGTAAATCCTGAATTCTGGACAATTTCAGGATAATGTGGGAATTAAAACAAAGGGAATCTTCATGTTCTCCACTGGAAACTCTGACTGACTCCATCTGTGGATTATTAGCTGAGCCCATTGTAGCTGATTGTGATAATAGTTCACATATTATTGTTAATCTCACAAAATGGTCATGACTTTTAAGCCATGAAAATAACTTAGAGAACACATATTTAATAAGAACATAACCGCCGTTCTACCTAAAACACATTTGGCTGGATGGTCAAAAACCTTTGAAGCCATTTTCCTCAGTTTCATTGTTAGTGTAGTTACTGCGGTTTGGCTTTGTAGGGCAGAATAAAGTATTTATTTTGAACATATAACAAAGCTAGACATGCAGGTTTTGGAGGAATGGCAGTGACATGAAGTAAGTACATTTACTTAAGTGCAGTACTTGAATACAGTTTTGAGGTACTTAAACTTGAGTATTTTTCTGTTACTTAATTTCAGATAGTCGACTACCTTTCATTGGGGAATATATGGTTTCACTAAGAGCTCAACGCACTGCAACTGAAGTGTCTTTGTCATTCTGGGAACAATCAACTATCTTTCTCCACAATAACTGACTCCACCTTTAAGAAAGTTAAAAAAGAACTTCTGCAGTTAAAGGGTTGATGGACCAGCCAGATGCTGCTGGGACACTTTCCTTTGGACAGAGCCAGGCTAGCTGTTTCCCCACAACGCTGACTACATATAACTTATTTAAACGTATTCTATAACTGACTGAGAAACATTATTAACTGACCGTAACCTGTCTTGGGTTACATAACTCTATCCTGCTGGGAGACTTTCTGTCAATAATCTCTGATGTTATAAAATGTCGACTGGTCACAGGGACACAATATAAATAAAAGATTAGTAAATCCTTTATTCTTATACATTTGCTTTAAGGTGATTTTTAAAAAATTACAGTACGGAAAAGTTCTGTGTTTTACTTTCACTGAACGATCAGTGGAAATATGTGTATTGAAATAAAGTTCCATAAAAATTAAGAACAACAACAACAACAGTATATCGTAGCAGTAATAACTTTTTTGTTGTGAATAATCAGAAACAGGGTCAACTTATTTATCCATTATTATCTATTACTGGAGCTCCAGCAAACAGAAACCGTTCACTGAAGAAGGCCTTGGGTACAGCTCAGTAAGTGGACAATGTGTTTAGAATATTTAAGCTAGAGGAAAGCTGAAGACTAACTGAAAACTAAAGACTGGAATATCACACATAAAATTGTTCCCACCAACCTCCCAGTCAGAAAGGTTGATAAAGCTTCCAATTGAGTAAATCACTGATTGGTGAAAATGGCAGGAAACTACAATGATTGGTCCAATTTGTACAAAAATTTCGGCAATTGAATAAAATTACAAGGTTGTAACGATTGTAACAGGTAGCAAAAACAACGGTTACAAATACATATACCAAAGAAATCCCAGAATTCACAATCATGTAACTGATCTTGATTTTTCTGTACAGTAAGATTTTTTTTAAAGGCCCATATTGAGCCTAAACTCTCCATAAATGAATAAATAATTTTACTATCTCCAGCAACTTATGCCTACAGTAAATAAGACGCATCCTGTAGATTATTTACAACCAAACTTTCAGTTAATAACCCTACTTTTCATTCAGTCATCTTTAGCTTTGTACATGTACCTGTTGTCTTCTGTTTTATTGTATGTTAATGTACCTGGATGCTATGACCATTTAACCTTACTGTAGATAATCCAATACCATTCTATTCCTTCAACATTCAACTGGATTGTAAAGCAGTTGTATTTGATAAGACACAGTTCAGTGTGTCAGTTTGGTAGCAATGGTATTGAAGTGTCTCTGGGCAAGACACTCTCCTTGGATGCTTCGCTTGTCGCCTTTTTCTCCCAATGGTCAGCCCTGTCTCCTAGAATTTACATTTATATACAACTAATTTGTAACAGCAAATACATTTTTAATGTAATACAGCCCAAATGACATTTTCTATTAACATAATACGGAAATGTTCTCACTTAATGTGCCTGGCAAGGTCCAAAAATGTTAATGTTGATAACCTGTCAGTAAAATGTTCACTGAGAACATATTTCAATTATTTTCCACCAAAATAGGAAATCTTGCAGCACTATCCACTAGCAGAGACTACAGTGACTTCAGCATTACTCAAAAGTCAGCAGTGACTTGAGACATAAGATTTCACACAAATCCCGATCTTCGAACTGTTTGATTTGATTCCATTTGATTCAACTTTATTGTCATTGTAAGTACAGGTACAAACAATGTAATGCAGTTAGCATCAACCAAGTGCAAAGTAGTAAAGTGCAATTTACAAATGTACAGAAATATTTAAAGAAAACGTAATAATAACATTATAGATATATGAATGAATATGCTGGCAGATATTTACATTACTGTTGAATGTGTCGTGACAGTCTTGCACTTTGTACATCTGCCATCCACCCTATTACATAAATGTAGTGTTTAAAATGAATTCTGAAAATAATACAGACATGTGTTATATTGTCACCACAACGTAACTATGAAAACAATTTAGTAATAAACAAAGCTAATCTCTAGATGACTGGGTTGTAGTGGCAGCAATACGCCACCATAATGAAATATACACTGGCACAGTTGACCATAGTACAGAAACATCTATTTATTGTTTATTTATTTCTTGTTTTTTATTGTAAGTCAAACTGGACAGATCTTCTGGATGCTCTACACTTTCCAACCAAACAAACTTTTACAAACTCTACGTATTTTAATCATTTTCAGTCAATATAGTACAGGGTTGAAGAGCGGCTGGCGTGTGGGCCAGTACAATGATTCGCCATATATTAGGTACATTGATTGTATTAAATCTATTCTGTAATATTTCAAAGCAAGACACAAAATAAAATAATAAGATAATATTCAGTAATAGTGAGAGTGCCACCTACTGGCAACAGGAAGTAAGCTCTGCGTGATTTACGTGAAATTTTGCGTGGGGTGTGTGAGGGCCCGCTCAATGCTGCTTGCAGGTTTAATTAAAATATGTTGTTTTACAGTTTAAGAGAAGAAATCTAGTAAATTTTAGTGTTTACTGACTTTGATGTTGTCATCATTTTGATTTCTATTGATTCATTAATTGACTAATATGTGAATAAAGTATAAAGTATGTATATTATTATATATTGTGTCATGGATGATTCACATGCAGTCAGAGCACATGGTGTGTGTGAGTGTGTGTCTGTGAGTCTGTGAGTGTGTGTGTGTGTGGGGGGGGAAGCACATTTCTGAGGCCGTAGAGACAAAATAAGAATAAAATCTGACATTAATTACAGATTTTTTTTAAATGAATAAGTTAGGATGAGTTTACATTAACCAACCTCCACAGATCATCACAAACACATGCTGCACTTCTCTTTTGCACAACTCTGTGTCATTCAGATTTACACAATAATAAAATGTCACACTGTGTTGTGAAATTCTGCAACGCTTTTTGATTTGATTGTTCTTATATGGAATAATCTATTCTCAGCAGAGCGTCTTTGTGTGTACTTTACTTTCCTCCTTTTCACTCAGTTTTCTCGTCTTATCTAAATCCGTCCGCGCACAACTTCCTTTGGACCTTTGTTGTATTTCACCATTCATCGTCTGTCGGCTACCGGTTGGTTCCAGTGTGACGGCTGTCAGAGTGCAGGCGAGAGGTTATCTGCCGAGGGAGGAGCGGCTTCCTCTGGCAGCCGTTCTGCTGAGCTCACATTACTGGAAACGTTTAGTTCAGGGCTGAATTATAGAGATATACAGCCATCATCCAGAAATATACAGGCTGAAAACAGAGAGTGAGACAGACAGAGAGTGAGACAGACAGACAGAGAGATATACAGCCATCATTCAGAAATATACAGGCTGAAAACAGAGAGTGAGACAGACAGAGAGTGAGACAGACAGACAGAGAGATATACAGCCATCATCCAGAAATATACAGGCTGAAAACAGAGAGTGAGACAGACAGAGAGTGAGACAGACAGACAGAGAGATATACAGCCATCATCCAGAAATATACAGGCTGAAAACAGAGAGTGAGACAGACAGAGAGAGAGACAGCCATCATTCAGAAATATACAGGCTGAAAGCAGAGAGTGAGACAGACAGAGAGAGAGACAGACAGACAGAGAGTGAAACAGACACAGAGTGAGACAGACAGAGAGAGAGAGAGAGAGAGAAAGAGAG